AATAGAATATGTAAAGTTTTGAATAAAATATTGTAATTTTTAAACTACTGTTAACTATAATGCGCAAGAGTGCATTGATCTGGAAGTGCAATGCTACCATTAACTAAGAAAATATATAAGTTGAAGCCCTGTACCAATGGCCCAATCATTTGCAACTTTCGTCGTTTTTATACTTTGCCTACAGCTGTGTTTCTATACGGTAAACGCAACGCATAAACAGAACTGATTACGTTTCTATGTTATTATGCTCGCAACGCATATTAGTCTGAATACACGTACTGACTTTCAAGTAACGTACAATTATCACCTTGAAGGTGAAGGTGAAGGCAAAGTATAAAAACGACGGAAGTTGCAAATGATTGGGCCATTGGTACAGGGCTTCAACTTATATATTTTCTTAGTTAATTGGTAGCATTGCACTTCCAGATCAATGCACTCTTGCGCATTATAGTTAACAGTAATTACAATATTTTATTCAAAACTTTACATATTCTATTCGTATCTATTCTATCCTCCGCACTCTCAACGCCACTGAAAGGAAAACTGGTTTTCGTAAGATCTCAATCATCACGACCATCAATATCCAAATTATCGTGATGCTTTTGACAGCCGCGTTTTATCGCGCATCAGTTTTCTTTCCGGTCTTCAATCGACTGCACACAGACTGACACTCATAGAATACACTTAAAAGTTGTTATGTAGTTCGCCATGATACTATTACAGTGTTACCGAAAGTTAAAGTACACACTAAGTCGAATACAATGTGATTGGACGCTTTCCTTAAAATATTTGATCCTGTATGAATAAATCGAATTCTGGTGTCAACGCATGACACGAGATTATTAAACAATTATTGAATTCGGTTGTCGCATGATGTGAAGGAGAAAAAATGATATTATTAATGTAATATATAATATTATTATTAATTACATAGGTGATTATTGAAAATTCTCCACTCTGATTGGTTGCCGTTGAGGTGATTATAACGCACCTAAGCGATTTTCGAAATGGCGGCCGAAGCCGTTTTGTCAATTAACTGACGAAGAAATGTGTATTTTTTATTTTTTCCCAAATAATCACCTGTGAAACTATACTAAAACAATTATTCACCTCAGGCTTGGGGATCATCGTGAATAAATTATTCACCGATAATCACCTCGCCTTCGGAGAATAATTGTTAATTATTATTAATAATAATATTAATATTTTTTTTAATATTAATTTATTTATAATTAAATTTATTTCCAATAATTAAAAAATTGGTAAAATCCGCGAGTCCGCGTCCGCCAGTCCGCGTCCGCGAGTCCGCGTCCGCCAGTCCGCGTCCGCCGGTCCGCGTCCGCCAGTCCGCGCCCGCCTTTTAACTACACCCGTCATAAGATGGCGAACCACAGTGTTTTATTTTTCACCGATAACGAAGCTTTGGTTTATGTCATCAATAAACAGTCATGCAAGGACAAGATTCTGATGCAGTTTGTTCGGAAACTTGTTCTTGTATGCCTGCAACATAATATTCTATTCAAAGCAAAGCATATCCCTGGGACGTATAATCGTTTGGCTGACCTATTGTCTCGCTTTCAGGTTCAAACCTTTCAACGCGAAACATCAGCCTCGATGAATTCTTGCGCAACAGACATCCCTCAAGCTCTGCTGCCACAAAATTGGGAAATATCGTTTCCCTCTTGACACGATCCAGCCTGCAGCGCTCATCGATCCTTACTTATCAACGCGCTTGGAAACTTTTTGACCAGTTCTATTTACATATATCCGATACTATTTCATACACATTGCCTATTTCACCTCATACTTTGGCACTTTTCATTGCATACATGTTTGATCGGCGGTACGCCCCCGCAACTGTCAACACATATGTCTCCGCTCTCGGGTATTCACATAAACTTTTCAATTTGACTGACCCAACAAAAGTCTTTTTCATTATGCAAATGCTAAAGGGCTATGGAAAACTGGGCTTTCGCTTGGATAGTCAGTTAGCAATAACCCTTCCAATCCTTACCCGATTACTTATGGCTGCTTCACAGTGTATTACCACTACATATGATCAATGCCAATTTAAAGCCATGTGTGCTCTGGCATTCTTCGCCTTTCTACATATTGGCGAACTAACTTCAACATCAAAGCAGTCTCCTATTCCACTACATTTAAACCAACTCACCAAACTCTTAAGAGACGGTGAAGTAATTGGTTTTAAAATAACCTTCACCGACTATAAACATAATTACAACCAACGCCCGTTTTCCATGACCATTTATCGTCAGCCAACCCCCAAGCCCTGCCCTGTACAACTTTTGTGCAATTATTTGACCCGCCATGGCAATTCTCCTGGGCCAATTTTCATGACTCCTGTGGGGGCGACGGTGCCGAGAAACATGTTTATTTCCTATCTCAATCAATGCTTAAAATTTTGCAACCTCAATCCTGAGCAGGGCTTGTCTGATGCGCAGATTCGCGTCTTGGGTCGTTGGAAGTCCAATGCATTTCAGAAATACATTCGAGTTTCAACCCTTACAGCGTCATAAATTATAGATATTTCACCCTCCCCCCAACAACAATGCGGGATGTTGTCTGGTGGAGGCTTTAAGGGTGGCAGGGCGATGTTGTCATACAGGGGCTGACAATACCTTTCTGCCACGTTTTTCTTAGGTTTGCCAAATTATTATCCACGCCTGGAAAAAAGCATATCGAAATCGCCAGAGGTGAGCGTGCGCAATTTTTCGTATGTAACAAACAATTTTCGAGAGCATGGTGACGAATTTGAAGACACGGAGATTGCGCTTTTTTGCGCGCATGCGGTACAAAGAGGTTTATTTATTGATAAATTGTGTTTGTGGGAGATGATGAAGGATAAAGTAATTTTTTTAACGATACCAAAACATACCTATGAAACCATTATGATCAAGCGTTGATCCTCACTTTTCTCGAAGGTCTTTCGCAATAATGGCGGAAAAGTGTTGGCCGCGCGAAAACGGCTGCTGTTCGTTTCGCTAAGGCTTTTTTCCTTTGTACTTTTTGTTTAAAATTTTTACTTAAGGGACAAGTCAAAACCTTTTTTTAAAGATCTGTCGTTTTTGTTTTTTGACTTTCGTCCTATTTCGTGTGAAATATGCCTCGGCGTAAAGGCATCCATTGCAGTCTTGCCGTGAATATGGCAAAGAAACGAATAGAAACTGCAAAGACAAATATGTTGGAAGCAAAGGTAAAGAACGAGGAAAAGAGAGCGCATCGACTTAAAATGAAGCTCAATCGTCTTGATAAACGAGTAAGTTATGTTTTTATTATAAATAATAGAGATTTTGAAACAATTTCATTTATCTGTTTGCCTTGATTTATATGGTGTTGTTTTATATGGTCAGTTTATCACATGTTAGCTGTCTGCAGTGCTTTAATCTATATTTTATATGGTAGTACGCTCATAATATAAAGCAGCAAAATAGCCTGAAGCTAAAATATTGACAGTTCAACTTCAAGTCTTTAAACTGAGTTTAAATGTTTGATACTGCTGTTATAGACTGACTATTAAACACACAGCTTTTGTTTAGATATACAAAAATGTACACTTGACCCCACCTTTCCCTTGGCTTGTACATACCTAATGTATACTGGGGTGCTTTTTTAAGGAGGCAGTGGAATATAAAATAGGATATACCCTAGGATTGCTAGAAATTTAGTACTGAGAGATTGGTACTGGACATGTCACCTGGCTTTGATTAGACCAGTTTGTTTGCTGACACTGTCAGTGCACCTTAATATTTTTGTTAACACATTTCCTAAAAAAAATATTGTGGTGCAGGGATGCTGGAACCACAGGCGCCGTGGGTGCAAATGCACCTCTTGACTTTTGTATTTGGAACTTAAAAAATGCAAGGAGTGCATTTGCGCCCGTGCTTCTAGCATCCCTGGTTAGTGCTCTAGTATTAGACAAATTAACCTAGTCAGCGGCAAAAGATTGAGTGACAAGATTATAATTTCTTGTTGTTTAACATTATATAGGTAGCCAGTTTAGTAAATGAAGTGGAGGAGAGGGTTGAAATTGAAAAGGAATTAGGAGGAGGCACTTTAGCTAGTAATCAGGGAGGTAGAGCTAGGAAAAAGGTAGTATTCTTGGGTGAAAAAGCAGCAGGAATGAGGAGAAAGAACCCAACTACAGCTTTACATAAGAATGTCAGTGTGTCAACAGCTAGACAACGATGCAAGGAAACCATGCAGGCAGATATTGAAATACATGGAGGTTCACAGCAAGATCTGCGTCCTGGCACTGTGGGCTTGTTGGATACTTTGGAAAGCAGATGTGATGTTAAGGATATTGCAGAAGCAATAAGTAGTGATAGTGGTAGAAAGTTAATGAAGAATAAGGTTTTTCCCAAAGTTTATAAGCAGGATCTTTGCATATTTGAACGCTCAACTCAAAATATGCTAAGATCTATTGCTCTTTATTATGGTAAAGGGGTAATGGGGAAAGTAAAGTATATGTCAGCATGTAGCAACATTGTGTTTGAGCGTTTGGCTGCAAAGAAGAAGGCTGTTCGAATCAAGGTTGCCAACTGCCCAATTCCAAAGCTTGTCCCTTACCATAAACTAATGCCTTATATTAGATCTATAGATATAGGTAAGTTATTTAGTGTTAGGGAGACTCTCTGTGATGGATTGGAGGATGCAGAGAAGATAATTGGTTGCTACCGTAACCTTGAAGATCTAGTGCTTAAACTGGCCGAATTTTATTTATGCAATGATCTTTATGATATCCTTACATTTGGTGTTGAACCTTATACGTTTCATATAGCTTTAGGTGGTGATGGTGCTCCTTTTGGGAAAGATGATACCGCATGTGCATGGCTTGTCAGCATTCTTAACATTGGAAGAGGAGTGCTAAGTAGCAATGAAAATTTTTTATTGTTTGGCGCAAACTGTAAGGAAGATTGTGTACCGGTTAAGCGGTTTATCAACATCTTAATGAAAGATATTGGTTGGAATTGAGAGCACCACTTACACAATTGCATACAAGGGTTCTTCTGTTCAGGCTAATTTTTTTGTTTCAGAGCTGCCAAATGACATGAAAATGTTGGCATTTCTTGGTGGTGAATTAAGTAACAGTGCCAAGTATTATTCTTCATTTGCAGATGTCACTGCTGACGATCACAGGAATGCAAAGGGGACACTTGGAAAGGAGAAAAACTGTACATGGAAGCCTTGGGAATATGCTAAGAGGTTGGAAGTTGCTGCAGAAGTTGTGAAAATGAAGGCAAAGGTAAATGTGCAGCCAATTTCCGAGGCGACTAAAAGATCAAAGGTCACAAAATTTATAGCTGGAAAGAAGAGCAGGCAAGAATTTGTTCCCCTAGTAGGTAGAGTTATTGATCGAGCACATGTAGATCCTCTGCATCTGAAGAATAATATATGTGCCTTAGTCCATTGCCATATTTTAAACCTAGTTATGTCAATGTCTAAACTCTCAAGTTCTGTAACATGTTTTAACAAAGTTCCCCATACATCACCATTTTTTGTTTACATTGACACATTAAGATCAAAGTGTTGTCTTTCTAGGTTAGCAAATAAAGTTCAAAAATGGTTCAATGATACTAATGGAATGGGCAAAGACTTTGATTATAGGTTTACTGGGAAAGACTCGCGTCTATTTTTGCATAATTTTATGTTTTTAATTGATGTTCTTGAACGACTTTCCACAGATATGGCAAAGAAGGTTTTCCACATCCACGCCTACCTTTGCTTGTGTTTGCGTGAATGTGTGTCTTTATTTTGTAGAGTTACAATATCTAATGAACAGGTAAGTAGACTTCAGGAACTGTGCACTTCTTTTTTCCGTGGTTATTTGTTGTTCTTTAACATCAATTCAACTATTTGGACACTTGGTTATGTTGTGCCATCACATACAAGAGAAATGAAAGCTAAGTATGGTTTCGGACTTGGTCTTAACTCTATGGAAGGTAGGGAAGCGAAGCATATTGCTATTGCTCAATATGCTCGAAATACTGCATATCGCCAACGATGGGAGCAAATATTTCTTCATGAATATATTTCCCTTATTTGGTTACATGAGAAAGGTTATCGTACTAGCAGTATAACTCAAACTACACTTTCATATATTCCAGCACGTGTCAAAGAGAATGGGTTTTGTAACTGTGGGTTAAGCAAGGCAGAAACCGAGGATAAGTGCAGATTCTGTAATCATAGTTTCCGGAACAAAATTGAGGTTAGTATTACTAATTGCAAGTCAATGTTCTGAATGTAGTTTGTAATAGACTGTAGACATGGTTAGGGGTGTTAACAAAAGTAATCGTTCCTCAAAAGTAAAAGAATGTTGCTCATGTTTATGGAAATCTGTATTGTACATAAGTGACCTTAGATTTCGATTCACTGTAACCAAAAAGATGGCAATGTATCGATATTACTTTGATTCTTTGAAAGAAATAAAATTTAATTCAGAAATAAAGTTAATTACTCCAGGCAAAGGATCGAGTGAAATGGACAGTACGTCAACTTGCATACAGTGTACTACTTAAATAAGATATTATGTCCAAGATACTGTAAACGATGTGTGCACTTTAAAAATCAATTCAATTTTGGTTGTAAAACTCGCCGGGTTTCCTAATCATGTCTACAGTATATTCTATTAACTATGTCTATGATTTTTTTTCTGTATTGGTGTTGTGTACTCAGGTGAATATGATGCTTGTGATGTTACTCTGAGTGTATATCCACACTGGGCGAGCTTGAAAAATATGCCCGGCCACAATGGGAATCGAACCTACGACCTTTGGAATACTAACCTAATGCTCTGCCAACTGAGCTACGCGGTCAGGACGGTTCGAATAAGTGATATTTCAGAACAGAATCTAGTTCCTTCGATACCAATGTAATCTAGTAATATGAATTTTTTCTTTGTTGGTGTTGTGTTCTCAGGTAACATCACAGGCATCATATTCACCAGAGTACACAACACCAACACAGAAAAAAATCACATTACTAGATTACATTGGTATCGAAGAAACTAGATTCTGTTCCGAAATATCACATACTTACTCGAACCGTCCTGACTGCGTAGCTCAGTTGGCAGAGCATTGGGCTAGTATACCAAAGGTCGTAGGTTCGATTCCCACCGTGACCGGGCATATTTTTCAAGCTCACCCGGTGTGGATGTACAGTCAGAGTAACATCACAAGCATCACTATGTCTATGATTTCAGGGAGTTCTAGATCACTACATGTACAGTATAGACAATTTTCAAGCGTTCCTTTGAGCACTTTACATTAATGTGTTCCTTTTTTGGTAATCTAGAGCCTGGGACACCAAACAGCTATCTGCTTTATAGCAATACTGTATTTCACTTGTGACCAATGGTGTAATTAAGGAGTTTCTACACTCGAACTAATGCCTTACACCATTCATACTGAATGATCATGGCTATAAGCAGATACAGTACTGTGGCTCTAGTGTGCACTTGGCATGAAAGTTCATCATCAGGTTTATTTTATAAGGGCCTTTGCTCGAAATGTTTTGTTGTAGCTTTTATAGCCAGTTTAAGGGGCATTGGAATTTTAGGATTTGATATATCGTCTATATACCCTTTCGGTAATTACATCACAACTTGCTTCTTGGCCTGGAAGGCTCGCTTTCATGAACCCTGAGTGAGTAAATCCATTTCCCGAGTCAAGTCCGAGTCAGTCCCGAGCCCGAGTCAAACGCCCGAGTCGGGTAAAAAAAGACGAAAGTGAAGAAAATTCACAGTCAAATAGGGTTAGGAGTAGGTTTAGAGTTAGGGTACTAAGGCCCGTTTCAGACGGTGTACTCTTCATGTGCCGAACTTAATTGTATTACATGCGGCACAAGAACGGCAGTGATTCAAACGGCGTACCAAGTACTATGTTATTGACAAGGATGGGGCGCATTCGCCAGCGAAACCTCAATAAAATTCAAAATAAATAAGTTTATTTTTAGACTAAAGTTGAATTAAGTTTGACACATGAGTGGAGCGGCGTATGAATCAATGTCGCTCCAACGTCACATAATGCGACAAGCTCTGCCGAACTTGTGACGAACTTGTGCCGCTCCAGATTCTGCCGTACTTAATTGATTCATACGTCGCTCTTCTGCCGTAGGCCTACCTAATTCATCAATTAAGTTCGGCGCATGAGAAGTACGCCGTCTGAAATGGGCATAAGTCATTTTACCAACAAAAGACAGTTATAAGTTCTTGAAAAGACAGTTAAACAGTGACTCGGACATTTGACTCGAACTCGGTTTTGAGTCGGTCAGTAACCGACAAACTCCGAAATTGAATAAAATTCACAGTTGAATAGGGTTAGGTAAGTTAGGAGTGGGATTATGGTTAGGATTAGAGTACTAAGTCATTCAACTGCAAAGACCATCGATTGAACAATGACTCGGACATTTGACTCGGGCTTGGATTTGACTCGGTTAACCGACAAACTCAACCCTGAGTCAATCGTCTTTTGTCTTGATGCATGACAGTGAGGCTAGCAGGCCAAAAAGAGGGATGTAATTACCATAAGAGTGTTTTTGATATCGATACTGAATATCATAGAAAATGAGATGCTTTTAAATTTCCTGTGTTTTGAATCTCAGCATAAAATTAGTAACAAAGGTTAAGGGCCTTTGCTCGAAACGTGAAGACATTTTATTGTGTCATTTAGGAAATTATCGATTGGTAATTAATATGGCAGCATTTATTATTATATTCTCTAAGTCAACCACCACAATGAATACTTTTAGAAAATAGAAATTATATATTCTATCCTGTACATCTCATATAATTTCACCTGGTTATCTGCAAAGCAAACCATGTTTCCAAATAAAGTTTTCCTGCTTAAGTTTAAGAGCTACACAGTTTTTCACAAAATGAAATATTTTTCTAGTACTGGATTTGGCAAAATTAACCAGCACTAGGCTTGTAGTGTAGTCAATAGATTATATAGAGTGAGATGGTTTTGGATACAGCAAAATAATACTCGATTTAATTATCAAACCGTTCTTTGCTTGAAAACTCATTACTTGCATACAAGCTAAAGAGATTTTCACATTGTTTATGAAAAATATGTTTTCCGTAGTTTGTTGCGATTTTCATTTTATTATAAAAACCTATAGAGCTGAGCACTACATGGAAATGCGTTTGGGTTTGCAGAGTACAAGCTATGGCATGGGCGTTGATGGGAAAGTTGATATTGATTTCTAAACGATTGCCTGATTTGCATGGCAGTCTACTCGATAAAACTCTGTTGTAGTACACTGACAAATACATGTGAGTGATTCTGTAACATGTCATGAGAGAGACAATTTTCGATTTTATAGAGTTTGAAATGGTGTATGTAAAGTACAGCACAGCAAAATAGTGGCTAATGGTCCGATATGACTCATTGACTTCAGCACATACTGTATAAAGATTTCCATACTTTATATTTGAAATCAAAGTTTGTTAGCTTTTTATACTTTTATTCTGCCTGGGTTTACGTCATATGAATCAATTAAAAGTAGCATTGTGTTTCATTAAAAACGTTGGAAACCATTGCATGGCGATTCAATTGGTACACTTAACTTGGTGTTTAAAGTATTTGCAACCAAATATTCTATATGCTTGATGTTCAGTTGTCCTGTTCCATTAGGTTGAGCCCACTTAGCTGTGTACATGTTGTAATTACACACACCACTTTCAAGTTCTCAGTGTGCAATTGTTGTTAAAGTTGATTCTTGGCATGGATTTTATTGCGAACAGCCTTCTTCAAAAAAAAAATTGTAATGGATCAGAATCGGCCATCCTTCTTATATAAAATATATTCATATGAATGGGAGTTGGATTGTTTTCACATCAGTATATAAAAATATACAAAAAGATTCAACGTTTTGAGCGAAGGTCAATCTCTGAGAAACATTGAATATTTTACTTTATGTTTGTCTAGTCTGTCGTGTACACAATCTAAGTCTTCAATTAAATGGTTTGCTAAAAATTTGGATTTACAAGGTTTAATTCATATTAACAAAACTATTTACATTATTGTATTTTCCAGGTGCGGTTTATGCTGTGGCTGCAAGTTTATTGAAGTGGCGAAGCTTGGCCATGGCAACTGGGCATGTTATGCAAATTTAAAGCAATTTACGTCATTGAGGCACAGATATTAGCATAGCATGCAGTTGCCATGCTTAGCTTCACAACTGACTTCAGACTTGTAAAGGCATTACGTTTGCCCATTTGATTAGTTTTAACGTTACATGTAAATCTGCAACATGTTATGCATATTGCAGTATACTGTGTATTACTACTGTATATCAGGTTCATACAGTCTGTCCCATTAAAAATTATTAAGAAACTGTTCTAGAAAACTGCCAGTTTCAGAAAAGGTTGCATTCTGAGGTAACACTACTTTCACTAGCTTCACAGTATATTTGTTGCATTACAGTGTAAACACTTTCAACATTTTGTGAACAACATCACATGAACTATAACTAAGTTAGAGATAAAGATACTACTGTTTTGGTAAATTACAGCAAGTGTTATTATGATATATAGATACATTAAAAGGACACTAGCCGTAATATAATCAGTAAGATACTGAACCAGATTTCACCATTTGGCCCATATTATAAGGGTCAGTATTATAAGCCTGAATACCTGTGGTGTTATGACAGGTATCAGTATCTAAAAGTGCTGTTATCTATTTGGTCTTCAGCGTTTCAACAATCTGCACATAGATTATAATTATTATATATATTTGTGATTATATATTTTATATGTAGTTATATCATATATTTTACTCTACTGTAGTATTATGTAACAGTTGATGTAAGTATGTATAAGTAAAACATGTAAAAATTTCTTATTTGTTGCATAAAATTCTGCACGTATTATAAAGTGCTTCAAAATATGCTTTTTAATAAAAAATATGCACTTGAAATTGTGTATATATGTGGTCAAAAATTGGTTGGCAATTAAACTTAAAATTTCCATGTTGTGAATGTTGTCGAGACGACAACTTTATTCCTATACACTGTAAAGTAATGTGCACGGCAACTTTGTACCTAGGCTTATCTCTTGTGACTCATTTCCCATTCAGGTAGACTTTGCCAGTTTGGGCTTGGTAACTTACTTACAGGTATGCCAAGCCCAAATTGCATAGTTCAGGTACAGTATATGCATTTGTTAGGTAGGAGATACTGAGAAATACACAGCTAGATATTTTCCATATCTTCACTAGTGAAGATATTGAAGACCATACTGCATCTTCACTAGTGAAGATATGACAATTTCCTGCCATTTTTACTAGTATCCTTGCATTTTCAACCCGGATTGTTTTACTGTTCATCTTTGTTTATAACTATATAATAAACAGAATGTTACACGGTGTCATGAAGATATGAATTTATCTTCTCGTGGTGAAAACAATATTTTACTCATTTGCTGTGTTCATTTGTAAAATATTGTTTCACTGCTTGAAAATAAAATTCATATCTTCATGCCACTGTGTAATATCCTCTATATATTTGCATGAGTGCAGCTGAGTTGCTTATTTTGCTTTTGTCAAATAAATTTGGAAAATTAGCCACTGGGGGATAAATTGTAGAGAGTAACATGGTCAGATGGTGTGGGTATAACCATGACTACATAAGGTTGTTCTCCTTATATATTGAGTAAAATCCTCTTGCTTAACCCATTAAGCGCCAGCGCTCTCCCCTTGACGAGTAAAATTGTCTGGCGTTAGACAGAGTAAAATACTCTGGCGTTAGACAGAGTAAAATACTAAAGTAGGGTGCATCGGGGTGCAATGCGACTCAATGGGTTAACTAGAGACAAGGGCAGATAGGCCAGTTAACCCATTAAGCGCCAGCGCTCTCTCCTTGACGAGTAAAATCGTCTGGCGTTAGACAGAGTACAATACTAAAGTAGGGTGCAATGCGACTCAATGGGTTAAATAGTTTGGAAATGGCTAAGGGCAATTATGGCTCACAGCATATCATGTTAGGTAAGGATTTACAGCCGCAACATTTTAGCTCAGTATGTTTGCTATCATTACAACCCAACCACCATATATACCTAGTTAAGTGTGTATTCTTTAATACTAACGACAGAGTATTTTACTGGTAAATTTGAGATCCTTGGGTATTGATGGTTAACCAGACTTAGTGTCTTATAAAAATGGTGTATACCTGAACCAATTAACCCATCGCCCCTATGGTCTCCCATTGAAAGGTAAAATCATGCGGGATTACACAGGAAAATGATAAAGTGTAACTCATTGGGGCTTAATATTAAGTTAATTTATAAACCCATTAAGTGCTGCAATGTGTACAACTATTATTTTACTCTGTCTTATGATTTTACATATGCCTTATGATTTTACAGCTTCAGGGGAGACTCTTTGTCATATGGTATTACTCATGTTTGAATTGTTCTCTAGGTATATGCCTATATGCAACAAAAATAGGGTATGTTAAAAGTAACATTTGATGTAAAATGGCACATGAAAGTGATTTCAAAATAAAAACAGTCTAGTGTTCTCTGTTTTTAGTACACTACATAACACATGCACAGTATAGGCACATCTTATAAATGCTGAAATTTCAACTTCATGAGCCGTAACTGTAAGAGTGCTCATAATAAGGTTCTTGACTTACTAGCTATTTTGTTACTTATAGGCATATAACACAAATAGAATATTTTCATATTTACAATTTATCAGAATGTGTGCTGTGGGAATCCATTTACATTCCACTCTCCGTAGCTGAACCCAATGACTAATTTTCCAGGCCTTTTTTTGTAAGTAAAAACGAAGTCTTTCGCATCAGAAACGATAACTGCAGCCGAGTGTCCTTTTCGCGATCCACTTAGGTCTCGTTTGAAGTAACTAGCCACAGTTTCAGAGGTAAACTTCGACAGCAAAACAAACAACTCGTTCACCAAGCGCACAGAGGTAAATGAAATTATTTCCGCCTTATTGTTGTTACCGTGGGAACAAAACGGCTTGACAAACCCATTCAAGCGTCCGACAATTTTGGCGATCACGCTAAATATTTCATAGGAGAAATCCCTGCAGATTTCCACATAATATGGGTTCCGGATGCTTTTCTTGGCAGCAAGTCGTCTGCGCATTGCCTGAAGCCAGGATCTCGATTCACTTTGCAGTACCGAAGCAGGATAGATAGGCTCCATCAATATTGCCTCTGCCCTTTTATTTTGTGTTTCGGTGCATGGCATAGGAAAGAGGCTGTACAACGTTTGAAGATGCTGCACCCCAGCATCGACAAATAACCTCTTTCTGTCTTCATTTTCTCGACTGTCTTGAAACAGAAGAGAAAGAGCATTTTTTGCTCTATCTTCAAAACTTTCTAAGCTAGCTGTAGGGGCCGGATTATATATATCCTGCTCGAGAACTTCGTCGCGGCTAAAATGTGTTCTCAGAGTGGCCGCCATTTTTACTTATTAGCAATTCTGTTTGGTACCCGCTGACCTACATAAATGGCGACCTCTGGCGATTTCGATATGCTTTTTTCCAGGCGTGATCTGGTTGTGCAACTCGCTTTGTGCTATACACTTAAGGCTTGTTTCAGCAGTTAGCAAGGGCAGCTGCCATTTTTTCGTAATACTCAGTTTAATAATGACAAGACAGTTAGAAGGGGCTACTGCTACCACGTTCTAAAACATGTTTCAGACAGCTTGCAAGGGCGGCTGATCAACGACTTTGCTAGGTATACATTTATACCAGTTTCCAGATATCGAGTATGCTAGTTTTGGAGCAGTCTGCAAGGGCGACTGCCTTCAATTTTCATAATTTTTGAGGTTTATATCTTGCGATGTTCTTTCAGAATTTTCTAATATGTAAAGTAATATGTGTATGGTTGAGGCCATGTAGCGTTGCATTTTCTCGGGTGGGGAGACTTTTGATTCGTCCCTCGATGCTTAGGGCGAATTGCAAAGCCTTTGGCGTATATTCCTGCCACCTTTACTGGCTATAGAACACTTATATAATCAATCTAGACTTCAGTATTATTTTGATGTCAGAGAATATGTTATTTCATTAAATATTTTCAATAAAGCGGCTATGAACTATATTCATAGCCAAAATTTTTCCCATAAAAGTGTCGTCTAAAATTTTGTGCCTGCATGCCAGTAAACCAAGCTCGGTTAATGCAACGCTGTTTGATCCTCATAAACTCAAAGGGAAGGTGGAGACATAAATATATATATGTATATATATATATATATATATATATATATATATATATATATATATATATATATATATATATATATATATATATATATATATATATATATATATATATATATATATATATATATATATATATATATATATATATAGGCGAGCATTTGTATGCTCATTTTTTTGATCAAGGTCATAATGGTATGCAAGATGTGAAAGTTAAAATTATTGATAAAACTAATGTTGCATGTCCCACACAAACAGAAGGTTTTTGGGCATATAAACTGAATTCGTTTGAACCACATGGGTTGAATTTAAAAGACTTTGTTTGAACAATAGAGTTAATCATGCGAATTATTATAATTAGGGTATGGACAGTTTAAATTGTTGAAATCAAGTGTACACATGTAATTTGAAGAAGGGGCTTGCCCCGAAACGTAATAAAAAGTTGTTATACGAGCCCTGATGTATCATTGATTGATTTATATATATATATATATATATGTATACATATATATACATATACATATACATATATACATATATACATATATACATATATACATATATACATATATACATATATACATACATACATACATACATACACACACATACACACACACACACACACACACACACACACACACACACACACACATACATATATATA